CGTACCGTTCGTATCCACATCCTCATCCACATCTTCATCCATATCCTCATCCTCTATATCCTCATCCCCATCCTCCTCTTCGTCATCCCCGCGCTTCCGCTTCGTCCCAGCTCTAACCGCACCCCCACTTCCACCCCGGCCTCTCCCCGCAGCACCCCGCCCACGCCCACGCCCCCGTCCCCTCGCCGCCGACACAGACACCGCCGCAGCCGTCCGCGCGCTCCTCCTCGCAGGCGACGCCGGCACCGCTTCCGTTTTCGCCTTCATCTGCGCCTTCGTTTTTGCAGGGCTCTTCGGCGCCGGCGCCTTCGACCCCTTCGCAGTAGCCGCGGTCTCGGTACCCCCCTTCGGCCGTCCCTTGCCTTTCTTCCCTCCTCCTCCTCCTCCCCCACCCGCTCCCCCTGCCACATTCGCATTCGCATTCGCAGCCTTGGAATTAGAAGACGCGGCCTTGGAATTAGCGGCAGCCTTGGAAGACGCGGCCTTGGAATTAGAGGCAGCAGCGGCCTTGGAAGAAGCGGAAGAAGAGGCAGAAGCAGACGGCCAGCCACCAGGCAGCGACAACACCGTGCGGCGCATCTCCGCGCGCTCGGCGGGGGTGCCGTGGTACATCAGCACGGGGATCTGGAGAGCGGTTCGCGTCAGCGGAGTTTCGGGTGGGAGGGGAGGGTGGGGAGGGTGGGTGGGGAGGGGAGGGAAAGAGGGGAGAGGAGGGGAGGGAGGGGAGGGTGGGTGGGGAGGGAGGGAGGAAAGAGGGGAGAGGGGAAGAGGATGCGCTCCGCCGAAAAGAATATAAGGCACGAAGAAAGAAAGGAATGCGATCCTCGCGTCTACGCCGCCCGACGGAAAGAGGCGGAACGCGGTTAGGAATCAACGGGACGCCAAAGTAAAAGGGAAAGGGAAAGGGAGTCGAACCAACCACCCCCCCTAACAAGAAAGCCGGGCATGACACACGCATCCAAACCACCTCCACAACGCAATCAGCGCAGGAAAAAACGGTACGCAAGACCGAATGCAGGACGACGGGGACGCGACGCTTAACTGCGTCTGCGCGTCCGTCCCGCCTCGCAAGACGGCGCCGCACACCGAACTCCCGCCCCGTGCGCCGCGCCGCTTGAAATACACACGCACGCCCCACGCACCACGCACACCGTCTCCTCCCCCCAAAAATCTCCCCTCCCCTCAAACCCCTCGAAAAAAAACCCCCTCGAAAAACCCTCGAAAAAAAAAACCCCTCGAAAAGCACGCATCGCCGGCCCCCCACGAAATCTGGTCAAAACCCCCCACAAAAACAAAACCCCCCAAAAAAACGCAAAAAAACCCGCCAAAACAACCCCCCCCCCAAAAAAAAAACGCAGAAGAGAAAAACGCAGAAGAAAAACGCACCCCCGGCGCGAACCGCGCAAACTCCTCCACCCAGTTATGCAGCACGCTGAGCGGACAGACGACGAGGAAGGGCCGCGTGCCGTGCTCGCGCAGGTGTGCGGCGAAGGCGATTGTTTGGAGGGTCTGTGCAAGGGTGTGTTAGTAAGGTTGAGTAAGGGAGGGAAGAGTGGGGTGGAGAGGACGGGGAGAGTGGAGAGTAAGGGAGGGTGGAGTGGAAGGGGGAGGGTTTAAAGGACGGGGAAGAGGGGGGAGGGAAGAGGGGAGATGGGAGGAAGGGAGGAAGGGAGAGTGCGAAATGTCACGTTAGCGTTTTGAATGCGGTGATTTGGGAGGTTGAATGAAGGATGGAGGATGGAGGATGGAGGATGAAGGATGAAGGGGGAGTAGAGGCAGTGGAAGGTTCGAAGCCGGTCGGGACATGGGGATGGGGCGAATTGGACGGTGGGGAACAGACCGAACGAGGAGAAAACGAAATGAAACGAGAACTAAAACACGAACCTTGCCCAACCCCATCTCGTCCGCTAAAGTTCAAAACAAACGCGTCAGCATCCGCCAAAAAAGAGCGAAAGAAAGACGAGAGAACGAGCGGAAGAAATAAAGAGAAGAGTGAAAGGGATAGCGGAGGGAAAGGAAGCAAGGAAGGAGAACGCACCCAAAATGCCCGAGATGCCCTGCTGATTCAGCCCGACCATCCACTGCAGCCCCTCGAGCTGGTAGTCCTTCAGCCGCCCGCCCGTCACGAGCGCCGGCTGGGGGAACGCCGCTTCTGCCTCTTCCCCCTCGTCGCGGGCGTTCGCGTTGTCGTCGCTCAGAGGGCGCGCGTCGGGTGGCGCGTCCTCCTCGTCCCCGTCCTCCTCATCCGAATCCACCACGCGTCTCCGTCGTTTGGCCGGTGGCTTCCCTTTCCCCTTCCCCCTCCCCTTACCCTTGCCGTTTCCCTTCCCCTTCGGCGCCGCGTTCTGTTTCGCCACCGCGTCTCTGCGCTCCGCGGCATGCCTTTCCCGCGCGTCGTCCATCTGCTGCTTCAGGATCGCGCTGTACAAAGCGCTGCGCTCGAGCACGTGCTCGAGGCGCGAGAGCTGCGTTTCCGTGAGCTCGCCTTCCTCTGCGTCGTCGGCTTCGTCTGCGTCAGGCGCGTCCACGTCGGCGGTGGCTGCCTGGGAAGGAGGGGAGGAGGAGGAGGGGACGGGGACGCCACGGAGGAACGGGCTCGCGTCCGAATCCTGTTGCCACAGCACACGCTCGTCAGCACCGCCTCCTTGTCCGTGTACACAGAACGGTAAACGCACCTCGACCTCCATCCTCGTCCCCTCCGCCTCCTCTTTACCCTCCTTCTCTTCCTTTTCCTCACCATCCTTCTCCTCACCATCCTCCTCACCCCCACCCCCACCCCGACTCTCAGGCCCCGGCGACGACGCCGCCGTGCTCGCGGGGCCCGACGCGGGCGGGGACGACGCGGACGACCACAGCCGCGCCGGCGTCGAGCGCGCCGAGCTCGACAGCGACACGGGCGCGGGGAGGGGAAACGGGGAGGACGAGTCTGAGTCTGTCATCGACGTGTGGCAAAAGCAAAAGACAAGCGTGGTTTGATGGGTCACGGCGCGACACGTCACGCGTGGCGGTGCCTGATGCCCCTATCTGATCGGGGGTCCTTCAAAAAAAAATGAGCGGTTGCGCGTTGCGAATGCGGGCGTGTTTGAACGCGCATGATTGAACCGTATGTGCGATAATGAGACAGAATGACAAGAATCGCCCTTGATTTACACCGACTGTCGCGACTCGCGCGTCCATGTCTTCTGGATTTTATATCGCCTTGATACGGGACCACCCGTCTCTCTTATTCCAGGCTCGCATCGCTTGGTGGAGCATACGCGCCGCTCCATGCTCCATGCTCCATGCTCCAAGAGTAGGTAAGCCTGTGGGAAAGTCTGTTCGAATCAGCCCGAGCCACTTGTTTCAGAAAAACCCCCGCTTTTTTTCGGGGTTTCTCAAGATCGCAATTCGTCTTGCGTTCTTTAAGCTTCAAGCTTTGAGTCTTACCTCGCCGCGCAGAACTGGAAACCGACAAGCTTCTGCACAACTTCCGCAATTAGTGGCATTTACAACGTGGCCATACTTAGGGGCATTCAACTGCTAATAGATGCGGAGGTTGCCTGTTCGAATCAGGCCGGAGCGATGCATATGCTCAATCGGGTCTTCGACCGCGTTTTTTCATATTAATATAGATGCACGATTGATTGTGTCGTGCGCTGCCCTGGCCCCTTTCGGCGGAGTGGTACCGCGGGTTCGCCTGTGGAGCAGTACCCCAACTTCGCCTGTGTTCGACTCGTCGAGCCGTGGCTCGGGGGCGAGGTCCGCCACCGCCGCGATCGTGGATTCCTGCATGTATCAACACGGCGTTCCTCACTTTGAATTTTTTACTTCCGTCAGATTATCCGATCGGTTCAGCTGTTCGGTTATAAACGTCCAATAGCTTACCCTTTGATTCAACAGGTCCCCCTCATACGCTCGCTCCCTGGGTGAACGAAAACGTGCGCTGCATCTTCCTGACGCTGATCCCCACCGAGTTCTTCGAGCGTCTGGTAAGGCTATCGGCATTCGGGCTACGCTTCACTTCATCCCTGCCACTGGTTTACAATTCCCTTCATCCCTGGCTGATCCTCGGTACACAAGGCTCGGTAGCACCCCCGCTCGACAACTCGTTGCGTACGTGCGTGTCAATCGCTTATCGGATGAGGAAGTAGCCTGTTCGAATCAGGCCCGAGCCATACGAGGTCTCCCTATACATTTTTGTCTCGCATCTGTCGTTTTTACTCACGGGGGGCGAACCAGCAGTGCGTCGTGCATGTACATACATACATGCGGTGTGAATCTCCCACACCAATGATTGTCTGGTTCTGGTTCAATTGCTTTCCACGGTCTACGGATGGTCGTCGCAGCTCCTGAACCTCGAAGGTAGCCGGAGAGCACAAGGCTGAGTACGACGGCCTTGACGGCTTAGAAGTTGGTAGGATATCGCCGCTTGTCCCACCCAGCGAGTGGCTCACATCCCTCGTCGATATTATCGTTATCGCGTCCCTGTGTCTGTTCGAATCAGACCCGAGCCATACCTATATGAAATCTACCGTAGTTTCCCATCTTTACAGCTCGACTAGCAAGTAGCAAGTATGTACGTGAGGCGGCGTGATTCACCGTTCCACGCTCTGAACCTCGTCGACGGACAGATTGAACAAGCCTCGGTACGGTGGTTGAATTCAGGACTTCAGTGTCGATGGACTACTTGTATCGAACAATCTTCTTGCCCTGCAGACAAGCTTGGGTGGCGAGTGGCTCGCATGCGGTCCCGGTGTCGATATATGCGCGGAAGTTGCCTGTTGGAATCAGGCCCAAGTTTGCCTCCTTCTTGTCCCCTACATCTGTTCCTTACTCTCCGTTCCCTGTCTCGCATCCTCGCTCAGCTGCTTACATGTCACCAGTAGTACTTCGTACACGCGGCGGCATACTTTACATACTCCTCACACCAACATCGATCTCGTTCACTTCCTTTTCCCGCTTGGTAGTGTGCCTTTTACCACTTGGAAGTATAATATATATCGAAGCTTCCACACAAACAAGGCTCGGTGGTGGGTGGCGCACATCCGTCTTTCATGAGTGAGAGCAGGAGATAGATTTACATCGATGCGGAAGTTGTCTGTTCGAATCAGACCCGGGCCATGTTTATAACGGTTTCATGCCTTTTTTTCTCCCATGATTCCTCCAAGCCTACCGTGGTTAATAATCTGGTTCAGTTGCGGTTCCGGATGTTGTTCCTATGAAGTAAACAAAGACTTGTGTGGTTGAACTCAAGAGTCCCGTGGATTATCGGCGGTGAAATGACCTTTTCTTGCCATACGAGTAGGGCTCGGTGGCCTCCCTCCTTCCAGGGCCAAACCATTTCGCCGCGTCAGGGTTGCCGCGGCGGCGACGCGGTAGGGACGCGGCGGTGACGCGGCGGTTCAAATTTTGAACCGCGCCGTTCTCCTCAAACAGGAGCCACATCCCCACAGTGTAACAGTGGAGTATGGAGACACAATGAAGGCGCAGGGGATGGCGCAGGAATCAGTGGGAGTAGCGGCACTCAGAGGGAAGTTATCGCCGTCGAAAGAAAAGTTGGCGCGGCGGTGGTGCGGCGGTGGTGCAGTAGTGGCGCGGCGGTACGCGGCGAAGTGGCTACGACTTCGCCGCGTCCCACCCATATGACGCGGCGACACCGCCGCACGACGCGGCAGTATGCGGCGCCTCAACGTCTCGGACGCGGCGCGTGCACAATCGGACGCGGCCCGTCACCTTGAGGACGCGGCGCCTGTGGTCGTCGACGCGGCGATGAGCGGCGGGTAAATTATGCTCGACGCGGCAGTGTAGCGGCGTGGTATATCTCCTAAAATAGTTGAATATGTTGCAGTTTAGTTGAATCTGTGGCGAGTACAAGTGTTCTTTCAGGCTACCACGATACCGATCATGTTCAACGCTACGACGGCACAGCCACCGCTGTCGAACTCAACCCCGACCCGTGGTGAGTCCCTTCATGAACCAAACCTGTTCTGGGCAAAGGTATTGGTCAAATAACTCGAAATTTGGGTTTTTCCAAGGAAGATATGTGTCATGATCCACCTCATGCTACCCTTTTTTCCTTTTCTCCTCGCCATCCATTACGCCGTCCGGGTTATCACGAAGCCCCGGAACTTCTCATTCCTAGGACCAGATTATCCACTGCACCACCCGGGCTGTCATGGAACGCCGGGTTATCTCGACTATGACGTCCGGGTTATCGTGGAACCCCGACAGACGGATCTCAGACGGCATACAGGGGGACAGGAACTCCTTTCCAACTCCCCCGATCGCCCTGGAGATCCACAACTCCTCTCCAAACTCTATACGCATAACTCACCCTATCTGTAGGAGATAGGGACTTCCCTGGGCCTGATCGAATATAGTAGAGACGTATAAATACTCAGTAGAATCTACATGTACGGTAGATTCTACCTCGTCTAATACCAGTGCTACTTTGGCTTGGCAACAACGAAGCGTCCTTCTCACCAATCCGCCCTTTCCCCTTCTTCCCAAATATCTCCTCCCCTCCGCTCCTTCGAGTGTGGTACTGCGGTGGTCCCTATCGCTATAAGGCCCACCGAATACTCCCTCGAATAAAAACCAACAACCCGACTCCTCTACCCACCGATTGCGGGTACGAGTATCCGGCTTGTCGTTCTATCGGAGCACCCGGGTTATCGACCAACGTGAAGTCCCGGCTGGGATTGCCGAACACCGTCTCGCTGAGCCGACCTAGGGCTGACGCTGACAGAAGGTAGAATCTAGTCTACCCACCCCGACTTCCTTGGTACGAACGAAGAAAAAACCCATCAAGAGATATGCAGATCAACATTTATCTGCAAGAAGGCGGGGCAACCGCTGGAGCAACCGAATCCCTGAAGACGATAACATGGGTGTTGCTCTTGGCCATACTCGCGGGGATCGCCATGGCCGGGGTTAATCGACAACCCGCCCACCCCGCGATACGGCGTGGACGCCGGGGAAATTATCCAGTTGGGAACCCCGTACTCCAGACACTACGTGGTTTAATCCACCGCACCGGGTTGTTGTTGTTGCGTGTCGGCCGACCGCAGGCACAACCCGGCCACCCTCGATGCGGGCATAGAAGAGGACCGCATCCTCGGGGCAACAACCCGAGAAGAAGTGCGTTTGCCGCACAATTTGATTCCGGAGAGTTACCCGGGATCTTCGCTAACGAAGCAGGAATGCCACCTCTGGAGGATACGGGGGTACGGGCCTTCTTGGACGACTTGATTGTCATCGACCCCCACACGCGAAGCGCGCGAGTAGCGTCGGAACAAAACGAACCCCATGGCATGCGAACTATGGTCCATGACAATGGGGCACCTTACGCGGTGCCGAAGAGGAGGAACCCCGATTAGGATCGCGATTCTTGATGAAGATAGACGGCCGGGCCGTCCTATACCCCATCCATGTCCTTTCTCAACATCAGCTATCTAATCACTCAAATCCCAACTGCTTCCGGTTCAGTTTTGATTCGCGACAATTCGACTTCACACGGTTCAACCAAGAATCCAACATCTTTACATTTCAAGAAAAAGTAAAACAAAACAAACAACATATACGACGAGAGTCCGCGGTACAAACTTTGCATGCGTACGCGGGAGGGCCAGCGAATGGCGCGCTCCCGGAATAATCACTTCGCCCGGCCTTTTCCTTTGCGATCCGTCGACAAGGCGCTCCCGCTCGAACTCCACAACTGCTCCACCTCCTCCAGGATTTCCCGCATGTAAGCGAGAAATTGCTCGCGGTCTACATTTGGCTGGGAGTCGAGCATTGCGGAAAAACGCGCCGCGTCTCGGACCACGGTCTCCTCAGGCGAAGCGGACTGCGAGTGGTGGAGGAGGGCCGCCAAAGACACGGAGGACTCGTTCGCCTCCGCACTGCTGGAGCGGGTTGTCGACCCCGCCGCCGTCGATGTACGCGCCGAGGGGTCAGGAATCCGGCTTGAGGACGCCTGCTGAGAAGGCGGCAGGGCCGGTTCGTCTTCCAGGTCGTAGTCCAGGGGGTTGTCCCCCAACACCGAAGGAGAAGGCGATAGCGAACCGCGACCACTCGACGAAGACCGGCTGGACGCAGAACGAGGTGCGGGGCTCGGGGCCCGCGTCCGCGCTAGGCCACGGTTCCCATCCCCGCGTCGCCTGTAAGAACGCTGGGTGTTCTGCAACGGCAGGAAACGACCCAGGAAGACGCGGTACGGAAATTCGTGCGCTGAAAGAACATGGCGTCAGGCAAATTCAAAGAAAAAGCGATAAAGAAACGCTCACACAAGGCACCCAAGTCCGACAAACGACCGTCGGGGTGCAGGAGTTGGTACACCCCGTTCCCGAGGTGCTCCCAGTATTCGAACTGGAAAGCGCGCAACGCGGCCTCATCCTCGTCCGAGTACGCAGCGTAGAATTCGCCCCACGACTCGCACGTCTCGTGCTTGCTAAAGCACTGCTTGCAAGTGCGACGCGGCTTGTTGGGTTGCCGCTCGTTGGGATCCGTGTCGTCGGTACAGAACCTTCCCGACCCACACCGCCGACAGGCAGGCAGTAGCTGCCTAACCACGGCCCCAATAGCCCGGTGGCCTTCGTGCTCGAAGGTGGAAGGCGCGATGCTGTTATCTCGGGTAAGGCGGGGCGCCTCCGGGATTTGGCGGTTGGCGAACAAACGCGAACGAGGCGGCGGGATGTAACCCCGCCCTCGCAGACGCATCCGCTTGCGAGGAGGAGACTTGGACCTCCGAGCCTCGGGCGGGAACCAACGCGGCTGGCGAGGAGGCTGCGCGCGGCCACTAGACGCAGGGGAACGAAGGGGATACCGGCGAGACGACGAAGCCACGGGCGAGCAACGAGGGCGGGAATTTCCCCAAGAACCCGCAGCAGGAATGTGCGGCGGTGGCGCTCTGCCCGCCGGGGACCGACTCCTCCGCACCTGAGGCCTAATGTCTTCCTCATCCTCCTCCGACTCCACTCGAGCGCGGTGTCGCTTTCTCGACGGAATCTTGATCTTAAAGGGGGACGGACGGGGACTCGCAGGAGGAAGCGAGATGAAGTCTTCGTCGACGTCCATCGCCTCACCTGCACCAGCGAGGGGCTCGCTCGGAACGACAGGGGGAGTAGGAGACGGCACGCGTGGAGGGACGGGTGACGGGGACGGCGTGGGGGTAGGTGGGAGAACAGGGGCAGTGGCTCCCAGCACATTTTGCGGGACCGCCGACGTGAAAGAATAGTCGGGGGGTTCTTCTCCCCCCGGGATCCGCGCACCAGGGCCGTTGAGGCCGACCTGAGCAAGAACTATGAACGAACTTCAGGAACCCGATCAAATGGTGCGAAAAGAAGGATACGAACGGTCGAAAAGCTCCGCCATCCCGACGCTCTCGAACACATATGGCTGGTCGGAGGGCAGCCCGTGGTCGTCAACACGGGGGTCCACCCAGTTCGTCGCGATGGTTCGCACCCGGGTTATCGGTTGGCCCAGGTTGGCCACCACATACGGGACGTTGTCACGCATGAGGAGCTCGCCGCGGAGGCGAGTCAACTCGTCCCGACGCTCCACCTCAGAGGACTCGGGGTATTGAGCGCGCATTGCGCGATCAAGAATCTCCAGATAATAGTGCGAAAACCGGACGTTGGCGCCGATTTGCGTCAACCAGCACAAGTAGCGCTCGAAGAACAACTGTAAAGGCGGGTTAATGAACCCGCTGCAGTCAAAGAAGGCGAGATACTCGCCAGACGAAGGATAAGGGCTTCTGCCTCTGCCGCCGGGTTCCGCTCGAAGATCTCCATGGCGGCGGTCAAGACGTCCACCTCGTCGATGAGTTCGCGCGACAAATCGCGCACAGGCGGGTTGGGGGGATTCCCCGGAACGAACTGGCGGAAGACGTAGTTGTTCCCGCCTGGGCGGCGCGCCCAGAACACGCGAACGGGAGCATACCGAGGCCCGACGATTTGCAAAAAATACCAGCGCATCACGATGTGAACCAGGCAAATCTCGTGGGCGATGTCGGCAAAGGGGATAGACTTGTCTTCCGCGAGATCGCGGAGAAGGCGACACCAAGGCCGCTGACGATGGCCGACATAGCGATGGCGGGGCGGTTCCAACCTGTGGCGCGAGAA